TAAAATAATCAAGGGTTTAATTAAGGAAAGAATCATGTAAAGAATCAGTAAATATACAACAATTAAATAAGTTAAGAACGATTAATTAAGGTCATAAACACATAAATAATCAAGAATCATGCATACGAATTTTTAACAGAGCAAATGACTCAGCAATTCTGGAAAGAACATATCAATTCCCATAAACAAAATAGGTTGAGTAAAACTTTTAGGAACACAAAGAAATTAGACGGAAAATAATTCAAAAAAGCCATAATTTGAAAACACTTAAAGAAAGAAAACAACTATGGAAAACTTGAAAGCATGTCAACACACAGAGATTTGGACAACAGAAATTATAGAAATCGAAACTCGAAGTAGCGTAGTGCCTAAAAACTGGTTAGTAGTAGAGAAGTAAAAAACCTAAAATAATAGCCGTGGAAGTTTGAAAATACTTCATATACCCAGAGGTTCAACCAAACTTTAAAAATCAAACTTTAATATAACAAACTTTAAGAAAAACAAACTTTAATATAACAAAATGTTTAAAAATCGATTATTCAATAAAGAAATAAAGGAGCCTTAAGGAAAAAAGCAATGACGAACTCAAATCTCTCCAGATCTGGACGGATTCAAGTTCAAATGCTATGTTTTGAAGAAAAGAGAAAGGTTAAAGATAATCTGGCCTTCGAATCAAAGGTTTGAGCCGTGAAACTTTGATAGAAAGCACTCACAGACCATAGACAGACTCTTGAAGAGTTTTGAATGAGATCTGGACCAGATCTCTTCGAGGTTCTTCCACGAAACCACACAATCGATCAACCAGGGAAAATAAGAGACAAGTAGAGGCCTCGTACAGCCATGGGAAGTCATAGATCGAGTAGGAATCAAAGGGATTATGGCTGATTTTGGGTGGCGGCAGATAGGGTTAAGTTTGGTGTTAGAGAGAATTAGAGAGGAGAGGGTTTCAGGGGTGGCAGGTGTAGGCAAATGACTAGGGTTTGGGGGTCATTGGGACTAAAAAAGGAAAGGGGGAACGATAGTCGTTGATCTCTATGATCAATGGCCAAGATTAAAAGGATTTGGGGCCGGGTTGAATGTTATGGATTTGGGCTGGGTAGATTTGGGCTGGTTTAATTGAATTGGGGGTTGAAATTGGGCTGATTTAATAGGCTAAATCCGAAAATAAGAGGGCCATTTTGTAAATACTCATTTAACTGATAAAACAATTTTTAAAAATAACTAATTAGTTGTAAAAAATGATTTTCATGCCTGAAAATATTTTAAAATAATTACTTAATATTTTAAAAATATAAAAGGCTATTTTCTAGTAAAATAATGTAATAATGCATGCATAGGCTATAATTGCAAAGTAATTGCAATTGCATCTTAAAAATATAAATGTGATTATTTGTGCAATAATTGAAACTTAGTACAAATGCAAATGATAAAATTAAGCCAAAAACATAATTATAAAACTATTTATGATGCAATTTGTAATTATTTGTATGGATAAAATACTAAGATAAATTAATTTAATAAAAATTATGGAAAAATACCAATTGATGCTAATGTATGATTTTGAAGATATATATGCATTTTAACTTTTATAGGAAAATATTGGGTATCAACATGCACCTCTTCAGGAATGAAAAAATTCGATCTGCTTTCATTTGATATTTTGGCCTAAATTTCTTGACTCCTCGATACTCAAGAAAATCCTCTTTTTTTAATGACTGAATGCGTTTCTACAGTCCCATATTTAATAGTGCCCGAACTTTTTCTTCTGTATTATAACGACCCGATTGGTTGTTTTGCCTTCTAGAATCTCGTTCCCCTAAATAAGACTTCTCGTACGTGCTATTTATTTTATGACTTGCGAGAATGGTTAGTTTGGGATTTGGAAAGGTTCGGGTTGAAATCGGAACACTTGGTTCCTTAAGGTTGGCTAAAAAGGCCAAGTTTGACTTCGGTCAACATTTTGAGTAAAGGACCTCGAAATCGGAATTTTACCGGTTCCAATAGGTTCGTATGATAATTTCAGAATTGAGCGTATGTTCGGATCGGGTTTTAGATGAACCGGGAGCGTTTTGGCGCCTAATAGTGAAAGTTCGTTCTTTGGAGGTTTTAGAAGTTCTTTAAATATGGTTTGGAGAGGGTTTTGGTGATATCGAAGTCCAAACAAAAATCCGAGAGCGGGAATAGTTCCGAAATGTCATTTAAAACTTGCACGCAAAATTTGGTGTCAATTCGATTAGTTTAAGTATGTTTCGGCGCATTGGGAGTAAATTGAAGAACTTGAAGTTCATAAGTTTGATTCAATTAGTTTTGGGGTGTGATTATTAGTTTCAATTTTGTTTCGAGCGTTCCGAGAGTTCGTGCGAGTTTGTTTTATGATTCCAAACTTGTTGGTATATTCGGGCGAGGCCCCAGGGGCCCCGACTGTCAATCGGACGAGGCTCGGACCAAGTTGAAAATTAGGAGCAATAGCGTAAGCTCTAGCTGTTGTCATAATCGCACCTGCGCTTGGCCAACCGCAGGTGCGAGCTCGCAAAAGCGAGCCAGGCCTCACAGAAGCGGCCAAGGAAAGGCATCCCAGGGTCTGCAGGTGCGCCCCAACCTCCGCAGAAGCGGGACCCCGTCCGCAGAAGCGAAGCCAGCCGGCCCAGGGCACTTCTGCAGAAGCAAACTTTTGTCCGCAGAAGCGATGGCGTAGGTGCGGCCCTGTGACCGCAGGTGCGGAATCACTGGAGGCAGTGAGGTTTCTTTTAAAATGGGACTTAGTCATTTTACAACAACAACAACAACAACAACCCAGTATAATCCCACTTAGTGGGGTCTGGGGAGGGTAGTGTGTACGCAGACCTTACCCCAACCCTGGGGTAGAGAGGCTGTTTCCAAATAGACCCCCGACATCCTTCCCTCCAAGAACTTCCCACCTTGCTCTTGGGGAGACTCGAACTCACAACCTCTTGGTTGGAAGTGGAGGTTGCTTACCATAAGAGCAACCCCTCTTGTCTGGGACTTAGTCATTTTGGCTCATTTATTTCCATTGTTGGGCGATTTTTGGAGCTTCTTGAGAGGGGTTTTCACCTAGTACTTGAAGGTAAGTGATTTCTAACAATTTTGAGTTAAATACATAGATTAAGGGTAGTAAATTAGTGAAAATCATGGGTTTAGGTGAAAACCTAGGTTTTTGATAAAAATGAAATTTAACCACGAAATTTGTTATGGAATTTAGTAAAAATCATATATTTGAGTTCATAAGGTATGGGTAACAACTTTCTTCAAAAATTTCTGGAATTCGGGCATGTAGGCTCGGGGGTGAGTTTTAGGATTTTTGCAAATAGACTTGGGAAATCACTTTGATAGTTAGGTTATGAACTTTTAAGCAAGTATTAATTATTTTATATAACATTTGACTAGTTTCAAGTCGTTTGGCTCCAAATTGAGGGTTTGGACACAAATCTTGGACCGGAAAGTGGGCCTTGAGACGAGGTACGTCTCTTTTCTAATCTTGTAAGAGGGAATTAACCTCATATGTGAACTTAATTAATATGTGTTGCTATTTGTGGGGGATACGTACGCACAAAGTGACGAAAGTTAATACGTAGCTACTTTTCCTACTCATGTCCTTATAGTGTTAGGCTTACACCATGCTTTTGTGGACAGTGTTATCTGATTTTATTTGTTAATTGTATCAAATGGGGCTAAGTTAAGGATTTTAAGATTTGAAAGGTTTCAAGTTGAATTTCTTTCTTTTAAAAAGAATTGAGGGATGTTATGTTTAACTTGATAAATTATATTTAACCACGTCACAAGCATATTCAGCGAGCGGGGTGACTTTTCCAGTACTCTCATGGGAGCGGGCAGTTCACCTCGCAGGTTATTTGATATATCTATGCTTCCGACCGTTCGACCCTCGACAGTGCATAGTATACTTATATTTGTATTTGATCGGGTCATACGTCCTCGGTAAAATCGTGCTTAAAGATATTGGAACCCCTTTTTTATATTTGATATTGTTTCATGGACCGAAAAGGTAAAGGGATTAGATAAGAGAAATGACTCGGTTCTTACTTGAAATGAAAGGATTGTTTACTTATTCTCCTGCTCTGAGTTCTATTATCATTTTATATGTCATGTTTGAATAGAACTTCATATTATTATATTGTTGGCCCATAGTAAGTGTCGAAGTCGGTCCCTCATCACTACTTTTTCGAGGTTAGACTAGATACTTACTGGGTACATGTTGTTTTATATACTCACGCTACACTTCTACACTTGATGTGCAGGATGTGAGGCATGTGCATCTGATTATCAGTCTGGTGTGCATGCTTGACTTCTGGTTCGAGACTACATGGTGAGCTGCCTTTCCGAGCCGTTCAGCAGCAGCCGAAGTCTCTCTTTTGATTTATTTTCTGTCTATTCTATTTCAGACAATAGAGTAGAATTATTTTGTATAATTTACTAGTAGCTCATATACTTGTGACACCAGGCCTTAGCACACACACTAGTGGACTCATAATTTTGGATTCATTGTATGATTTCGATTTGTACTCAGTTGCTTCTGTTTAAGTATTTTATATTTGTCATTTTGTAAATCTTTTAAAATGAGAAAAGTCATTTACTTGGTAAACTTATTTAAAATGGGAAGTTACTAGATTGTAAGGTGTTAGTTTGCCTAGCAATGGTGTTGAGCGTCGTGATGCGCCATCACGATTTATAATAGAATTGGATCGTGACATGTATCGAGGATCATCAAAATAAGCAAAAATCAAATTAACGTAATCCTCCCGGTTTGAGTGTTCTTGAGTATTACTTTGTCTTAAGAGTTGTTTCATGACACATTGTCAATTAGCTTATGGAGTAACAACGAACAGCAAGACACGTTAGCATTGAGTTGCTGACTAATGCAGTTTGGCTATTTCCTCCTCTCACCACGTTATAAAAAAAAGAAGTCATCACTCGCCACTTGTCCTGGAATACCAACCGACCATATTCGAATATTAACCTCTTAATTGCTTCTTCCATTTTATATACATGGTCGTTTCTCTTTTCAAGAATACAAAAAGAAAACTGAATTAGAGCAGTAAGTATTTCGTAACAATGGCTTCAGAGAAAGCAAGAAGAGATATTCATATCAAAGGTGTTGCTATTGGTCCTGGACATGAGGGCCAAAGCCTTACGCTTCATTCTCAACCTGCTAAAGTTGGAGGGCTCGAGTTCTCCAGTGGGGGAATGCAACAAGAGCAAATGCAAAAGCAAGAGGGTACAGAGGAGAGAAAAGCTCCATCTTTGGAGGAAATTGCACAGCAGAGGGCAACTGCACAACAGAATTCAATGGATGCGTTGACAGCTGCTGAAGAGCGGTATCAAAAGGCTAAGGAATTGGGGGCGTCTGCATTGCATGATGCGAAAGAATCGGCGAGTCATGGGCTTGGCGCTGCTGGTTATTATGCTACGGCGAAAGGTGTACAAGCCAAAGATAGTGTTACTCATGGTGTTCAAATTGGACCTGAGTATGTTGCTGACAAGGCTGGAGCTGCCAAGGACACCACCCTTGACAAAGGTCAGCAACCCAATATCAATTGAATTCACTAGTCTTAATAGGGATATGTGAACAGTCACTAATTTTCTTTTAACAAATGTTAAAGTTCTCACTTAAGAGTACAATGAATTAGTATTAGGAAACTTAAGGGTCGTTTGGTTGGTGGGATGGATGAGATAGACAAGGATATGGCATGGGATAGCTGATCCCTCCATTAGTATAAAATAATTTTTGGGACTAATTAGATACCCATGGCTAAACGCGAATCGTCCCGCATTTCACATTTTATTCCGAGATTGTTATCCATTATTCCCAACCAAACGGTTCCTTAAAGTTTAAATTTTATCAAATTTAAAACTTGGATTGATGCTGCAATTGCATTTTAGCAAATATTAAGTCTTGGATTGATGTTGCTTTGAAATTGAAGTCTAATATTTGCACATAGATACATAGGTGAAAGAAAACTCAATAACATACATTATTTAAGTGCTTATTGCTTGCCAAAAATAAATAAGTCCCTGTTTTCTGTGGTTTTTCCGGTTTTACGTGGTTTTCCTATGTTACAACTTCCATACCAATTCTGCACCATAAGTTCAAAAGTACAAGTATAAATTTAGTCCAATATTGGCAATGGGCCATATGGATATATATATTTGTCAAAAAATACAAATGACATTCTAGATCCATAAGTTTGAAAGTACAAGTATAATGAGTAACATTCTGGACCCATACTTGTTCAAAAATACAGGTATAAATAGTTGCAGGGCGCTGGTGCGTCAATACAAAGAACCTTAGAGTTAAAAATTTATCAAAATTAATCATTTGATCCGCCTTTGCTTGCACTGCAACCAAAGATATCCTATTCTTTCAAGTGCAGGTGCACAAGCCAAAGACACTATTGTGCATGGTGTTCAAATTGGATCCGAGTACGTCGCGGACAAGGCTGGAGCTGCCAAGGACACTGTTCTTGAGAAAAGTCAGCAAGCTTATGCTGCAACTGCAGATACCCTTACAAGTGCAGGACAAACTGCTGTGGAATCAGCACAGAAGGCAAAAGATTACACCCTGCAAAAAGCAGGGGAGACAAAAGATTATGCTGCCGAAAAAATCAGTACTGCAGCTCAGTCAACAACTAATTATGCTGGCGAAAAGGCTACACAAGCCAAACAGACTGCAGCAGAACTAAGTAAGACGGCTGCAGAGAAGACCAAGAATGCAGCAAGTTATGTTGGCCAGAAAGGTGTCGAAGCTAAAAACGCTACAGTGGAAACAGGAAAAAGCGCGGTAGGATATGCAGGGGAAGTAGCTGAAACTGCGAAGGATGAAACAGAAATTGCTGGTTTAGGGGCTGCACATTATACTGCTAAAGCAGCTGCAGAGGCAACCAAAGCCACGGCTGGTGTTGTTTCTAGGGCTGCAGGGTATGCAGGAGAGAAGGCGGTCGCGGCGAAGGATGTGGTAGCTGATGCTGGAAAGAGCGCCGTGGGATATGCAGGGGATAAATTAGCTGCTGCTAAAGATTATGTAGTTTCAGCTGAAGAAAGTGCAGTAGATTATACAGCTAGAAAGAAAGTAGAAGCTGAGAAACAATTAGAAGGTAATTCCAAGGTAAATATGAGGATAATAGCTACTACTACGTCTTTTTTTATGGTACACTGACGTCAATTAGTCATGATCATTTTAGCTGAACTAATGCAAAGAGGATTATCCTTTTGACATAGTTATATATATTACTTCCCCGTTTCAATTTATGTGAACCTATTTCCTTTTTAGTCCGTGCCAAAAAGAGTGACATCTTTCCCTATTTGGAAACAATTTACCTTTATGCAATGATTTATAGCCACATAAAATATATATGCTTCATTTTACACCACAAGTTCAGAAGTCTTCCCTCTATTCTTAAACTCCGTGCTCAATCAAATGAGTTCACATAAATTGAAACGGAGGGAGTAGATTTTAGACAAGAGGGGTTGCTCTGATGGTAAGCAACCTCCACGTCCAACCAAGAGGTTGTGAGTTCGAGTCACCCCAAGAACAAGTGTTTTTGGAGGTCTGTGGGGAGTTCTTGGAGGGAAGGATGCCGAGTTTCTATTTGGAAACAGCCTCTCTCTACCCCAGGGTAGGGGTAAGGTCTGCATATACACTACCCTCCACAGACCCCACTAGTGAGATTATACTGGGTTGTTGTTGTTTATATATTAGATTTTATGTTTTGCTTATATTGTATTAAGCCTGTGTGAAGCCTCTCTACCTTATCAGAGGTAGGGGTAAGTTTTGCGGACATATTACTCTTCTCTGACCCCACTTGTGGGATTACGCTGCGTCTACTGTTGTTGTTACTTTATACTGTGCGTTACTGACTAGTTTTAAACCACGTCTGTTGTTGTTGTTGCTTTATACTGTATTAAACGCACAGTTTCAAGACTGACTAGTTTTAAGGGCCAAAAAGTGATAGCTGATTTTCTTGTTAAATATGTGCACAAGGAGAAAGCGAAGGCGGAGTCATTAGTGTGGAAAAGCGCGAAGTAAAGGAGAGGGGAGAAGAGAGCAAGCAAGTGCAGCAGCAGGGAGGAGGGGTGCTACAAGCTATTGGGGAAACTATAGCTGAAATAGGGAAGACTGCCAAAGATTTTGTTGCTGGCAGTGGCCAGTTTGAGGGGAGTGAACCAGTGGGAATAGAGAAGAGAAGTCAATCACAATGAAATGGCTGAGTTGGCGCATGCTTTTGGTTTAAGTGTTTCCAGTCCTTTTTGAGAAGGTTGTCTGGTTAGGGGAATGCTTCATAATAGTTATAAAAGGGTCATAAGTACATACATATTTTGTTGTTACAAGTGCAATTTCTGTATGAGTCCTGATTGTGCAACTTCTTTTGTTATTAGTGAAAACTTTTGCAAGTGTGTGATATATTCTTTAAGTTGATCGTAGACACACAAATCTGCAACAAAATTGGATAGCAATATATTTGTCCAGCATCCTATCGGTACAATCCAAGATAATCTTTAACTTTATGATATGTAATGTATATACATCTTAAACTCAAAAAATATCATATCCATCAAATCCAGAGTAACGTAGATATGCATTACACAGCGAAAAGAGGAGGAGGTCCAAATTTGCTCTTGAGCAATTTTCTCATCCGTTTAACTTATAGTTCATTCATATTCTTGTCTTCATCAATTTTTTTTATTCATATTTTTCCTTGTCATTGATAGAGTTCCAATATGAAACAAGCAGATCCCATGAGTTCGAATTTGTCGACTTTCGACAATGATACAAAATTACCCTCATGTTACAGCTCATTAGAGATCAAGAGTAAAAATAAGACTCTATCCTAATAACGAAGTAATATTAAATCAAAAGTGTAAAAGAGGGCAAAAGTTATTCAATTCCGAACAATACATACAACAACAAATTTAACCCTTTCTCAAAGTATAAAAGTAGAGCAAAGTGATGGAAAGAGTCTGTCAAAAAGGGATCTTATCAGCAAACCACTTCATGACACGAATAGGAGCCTTAATCAACGCCAGCCCAAATTCAACCAACACTGTCACACATATGCAACATGGACACGTCGACCTATACACATACACACATATATAGTCAAAAAATAATTCATAAACAATTACCTGAAATGAAAATTAAATAGAAAAAAAAAAAAGAAGGAAAAAGAGCTAATAAAAAACCCGATAATCCAGATGAAGACGCCGACTATGGTGATAAGCAGGGAAATGAGAGCAAAAGGGAGGCCTAACAAAAAGGCCAAAGGTCTGCAACTGCAATCAATTCCTGGACACATTCTTCTTTTCAATCCAACCTTATAATTTCTATTTCTGCTTCCCCTCTTTTATACTCTCCATCTAGTCTTTTTCACTTGGAGTAAAAAAGCAAGTGAAAAATCATAGCACCTGAAATGGACTAAGGATCAGATCCTCTATATTAAAAAACCTCCACTTTGTGTCCCAGTAGAATTAGATTCTGATCTCTGTGCTGTTTCGATTGAATTATATTATCTATGTTTTACAAGTCCCTTTTTGGATGAGTGATCATTGGTACGAATCTGGTTCTAATTTAAAGTCGAACATGTGTTGCACGACTTCGGGGTTTGGGGGGGGAGGACTTATTAGTTTAACTGAACATATAATTTTGACATATAATATAAATTTATACGTAAGAATCTACTAAAATCTCGACAAGTATTAGATTTGAACCCAATAATTTTAAATAGTGTATTGAGGTCAATGTTTAAAATCTTAAAAGTTAAACTCACTAAATTTAAATCCCAAATCTACCTCTACGTGACTCTAAGACAATATTTTACAAACAAAGACTTGCTTTTATTCATGAAGAGTGAGTAGAAAGATTGTCGTTGATTAGATTGTAACCAAGAATATGAGTTTCCCACTTCATTTGAGAGACATCTGCATCTTTGTTTATTTAAAAGATGAATCAAACGATTCGAGTCATGACATCAGGACCCTCTACGTCACTAACAATGAGCGCGGTTCATAGGCTAACATATACGAATAAAGGGTAGCGCGGTTCACGAAGAAAAGCAGCACCCAGAGGCGGAGTCAGGATTTAAAATTTATGGGTTCAAAATTCTAAATCGTTTAAGTTAGTGGGTTCTAAATTAAAAATTTGTACATATTCAATAGATCTCTTAAGACAAATATAAGGTTTGAACAAAAACTATTGGGTTCGGCCGAACCCGTAGCTCGTATGCTAGTTCCGCCCCGGGCAGCATCCAAAGGAATGTAATGTAGACAGCTAACAAAAAAGGAATATTAAGAGTATTGATGGATAGAGCTATCAAATACCTATACTGATGAGAGATAACATGTAACTTGTGAGAATTAGTCAACTGTGCGCAAGCGGTCTCGAAATAATAAGTAGTAATAGGCAAATTTATCAAAGAAAATGAGAAAGAAAAAGAAAGAAAAAACTTCCTTTTATTCGAGAATAATACATCCTTGCCATAATTGTTAACACATCAAGATTCAGATTCCATGCCTAAAGAGAACTTACCACATCGGTCAATACTTGACCGATATAGCGCTTAATATTAAAAGCACTTTTAATTGTCAATACTAACAATCACTTTTAATTTATGTGATATAGCGCTTTGAAATTTGTGGTCTTAAATATGATATAATATTTTTGTTACTATAAAAGCTTCTCATCAAAGCTAAATTGGTAAGTTTAAATGAAGGTTCCCCAAAAAAATGGCCGTTGTGAAATACTAAACCAAATATAAAAATATTATTCTTTTAGGAATAGATTAATAAGAAAATAATATCGCAGGGAGTACTTTATAGACATATCAAGTTCAAAAATTCATAAACGCGAAATAAACACGCTACAAAACAATACCATTTATATATGTTATTTTTCTTTAGGCAAAACACGTAGTTTACCCATTAACGTTGCAACAAAATCTCTATTGCACACCTTTCGTTCACCATTTTTTTTACATTCCCAATCTTTTAAAAGTGTGTCTAAGACACACCATTTCTGATCAAGTGTCACTTGCATGTTTACACACAAAACGCGCGAGAAGTTTATAAAAGAATCCCATATTTTTGTCCCCCCACCCTCTTGTATTCTTCCTCAGAACCTCCCCCCAATCTTCTTCCCCATATAGAATTTTTCAAAGAACATAAAATTTCAAATATGAAAATTGAGTGTTTTTTGTTGGTTTATCGTTTAAATATTGTGAAAATCATAAATTGTGATAGATTTAAAAGCTTTAACAATAGTTTGAATGTTTGGTGAAAAATTCTAGAATCTATCATTATTGGGGTACAAAAAGCTTGAAAATTCAATAGGGCCTTGTTAATTATTGGGTTGTCGTACTCAATTTATTGCTCGATTTTGTTGACTAGTTGTTTAAATATTGTGGTTGGATTTTGGTATTGTTGGAAACATTCTAACAAACAACCATAGTAGCAACAATGGTGCTTAAGAGTAAGAAGATGATGTTTAATTGTAGTTTCAATTGTTTTTTTCCCTAAGTCAATAACACATGTCACATTCCTATTAGGCTTTGACTTTTACGTTATCCGAAAAATTGATCAAATACCAAAATGATATGTTTTAGACACACTTTTAAAAATTGGGGGAGTAATAGATTTTCCATGAATGGTGTGTAACATGAGTATTGCTGCAAGGTCGACATGTAAACTATGTAAGTTTTCTTTTCTTTATGTTCTAATTTAATATGGTGGTCGCATCGACTTGGTCATTGCAGAATAAACACACACATTCAGGTGGCACGTGTCTAAGAGATGCAGCGTTTGAAAATGGATCAAGTTCATTTACTCGGATAGGTAAATGGGCCAGACTAACGCTCTTGGTCCGAGCCCATATTCATTCCATTAAACATGATACATGCGCAACTGTGTTACTAAATTATTGAACATGACCAAAGCGGGATGTAATATGTTTTCCAGGGATTCAGCCGACCTATATATATATAGACAATAACTTAAGACAATATTGAATTCTTGATTCATAATTTCATAAGTATAATAGTTTAATGATAAGATTATCAGATCAAACCCATTAACTTTAAATTCCGAATTCTAAACATGACATCTAACGTTCTTTAGAGTTCTATTGAAAGATTTAGAGCCAACGTGATTATCTGAATAATCCTTTGACATAAATTGAATTTATGTATCGATCTTTATGTCTTCTAATGGCATATTTCTCTTTGTTATTTGATTTATCGTTACAATATTTGTTTTTCAGATTCTGCATCTCACCTATGACTGCAATCCTACAAATAGTTAACCCCAGAAATATAGTGGGCATGCAATTGAAGAAGATGCATTCTAGTAAAAGTATAAAAGCAGGGGCGACCCTTCCATAAAGCAAGTAAATCAATTGCTTTAGGATCCATATTTATGGGGGCCCCATTTTTGTTACACCAAATAGGCTATGTATAAGTTTTAAAAAAAGGCTATGTGTGAAAGTATAGGGGGGGGGGGGAATTGTATATTTTTAAACTTAATCTCTATTAGTTGACTTGTTTGTCAATTAGTCGACTAGATGCAACAACCCAATAGTTATAATAGCAGAATGTAAAATACATAAAGTAAGTGCAGGAATTAAAGACACCCAAATTTTATACTGGTTCAGATTCAATGTGAATCCTAGTCCAGTCACCTTGGGTTGCAAGGGAGTTCTCTTTAGTAAATGCGTTTCTCCGAGTATAATGGAAATGACGTGATAGCTCAGTTCCTATAACACTCGTCTCTTTTGATACAATGTCTCACCAGTGTTGTACTCTCCTTTTTCTCTGACTTGTTACACAATAGATCTTAGAGAACTACAATATTTGTTTGTAGTAGAATAAAGAGAGGATTTTTGGTTCGATCAAACTATATTTGTCTAAGGGTTGATGCTGAGTATAAATACTTTGGTGAAGACCGTTTGCTGACGAGACTTGACAACCCAAGAGATCTGATCCTTGGAAAGAGATTGATTCTTTCCAAGAATAAGATTGCTTGTCGTTGCTCTTTCTTTGATGAGAGGAAATTGATAGCTTTCCTTCTATAGTTGTTAATGATGAGGATTTACTCCTTGATTGTTGGTCCTTCCGAAATTAGCCGCTCAACTACTCTTCTCACAGAATCTTCGATGCTTTTTGACTGCTTCAATCTTCTGGATTTGAATATCCTGTCCTTGATTAATGCCTTAAGTTTAGGCTTGCTTGATTCTTTCCATCACAGTTGTCCGTAATCTTTGCTGATTGATTTCTTTCTTTAAGCATCCAGATTTGTTGACTGATTCATAATCTTTGCTAATTGATTTCTTTCCTTAAGCATCCAGAATCAATCTTGTAGTAGCTCATTGATTCCTTGTTCTTCTGTAATTAATTTCCTGCACATATGTATTATTTGCATTATTAAAATTAGATCTAACAATCTCCCCTTTTTTGATGATGACAAAATAATATATATGTATAAACACCAGTTGACTTCCTTGTGTTTTACTCCCCTCAATGTATGCAGTTGACAAGTTCATGGTACTCCCCCTCAGTTCATGCAGTTGACTAGTCCATGGTTGGAGTCGACTCCTGCCATAGATGATGATGCTACTTTTGCCACACAGTCAACTATACCTGTACAGATAACATATACTCTTCTCCCCCTTTTTGGCATCAGCAAAGAGGGAACAAACCAAGAGCTAAACAGAATATATATAGCATTAAACTATAGAGTTATAGTCTAAAAAAAAGAAAAACAAAAATTACCCAATGGCTGAGATAATAGCCCAAAAAAGCATAGCAAAAAAATTGTCTTAAGAAACCACATTAATGACGCAGAAAATAAGTAAGAGTGTTGCAGATGACCTCCTTCAATTGTTCAAAGATAGCATTGGCTGAGATTCTCACTTCATCCAACCTGTCATGAATCTCCTTGAAAGCTTTGACAACATTCTCCCTAACTCTAAGAACAACAACTCGAATTTTTACACATCAGACCCTGTTTCCTTGGAGATGGCATGAATATCACCAACAGTAGACTGAGTGGCTGTGAGGAGATTTTTGATTTCAGAGAGTTGAGTGTCAATGCCACAAAGCTTTTCACCAAGGTCAGGATCACCAGGGCTGGTATGAGAGGCAGAGGGTTTAGGTTTGGGCTCTATAAGCATGCTTTGTTTCACCTTCATGCTTCTTAACCTAGAAGCCCTTAACACTCACATATCACATACTTGCAAAGTCCCTAGAGTTGTAAGACTTTGAAACAATGATGAGGGGATAGTTGGACAGGGAAATTTAACGAACTTCCAGAATGTGAGTGATGGCCATGCCATAGGGTAGACTGGTGGGATCTTCAGCACTTTCAATCATGAAATTAATGACCCAGGATGATAACTTTATTTTGAGTTTTGTCACA